TGCTTTTCTAAATGTTTCTCAGTTACTTCCTCAAATGGTAATAACAGGTGCTATGGCAGACCCAGAGAAAAACTCACTTGGGTCCTCAACTGGTTAAGAATACAAAATTGTCCTGAGAAGTCTGAGAATCACCTGATGAGATAAGGGGGCGAATGCTAAGAAGTAGCATCTTGATCCTCTTTACACGGAGTACTTGCTTTCTAGGCAGCTGTACTATGACGGAGAAAGAATGGCCTCAGCTCAGGTGTGGCTCGGTGGTAGAGCGCCTGCCTAAAATGCACAAATACTTAGACAGGTTCGATCTCTGGTACTATAGAAGACAAAGACAAAAGAAAGGGGGGAGGGGGGATTTCCTCTATGATGAAATTTTCCCAAGGTTTACTTGGAAGAAAATGAGTTGAAGATGAGGGAGGGCTTGAAACGTTTGCCGTGTTTTGCAGTCAGCACCATTCCGAAGTTGCCATTATCATTAAGATGGTATGGTAAATGCTGATAAAGGAATGGCTGTGTGGTAAGAACTGAGTGAGGCTGCAAGGGTAACCGACGAGAAACCCGTCTGGAACCAACTTTACAAGCTTTTCAATCAACACCATACTGAGACACCAGTTAAACACCATGAAGAAAATGAAGGAAGCACTGAAGATATATTTATGGGGTGAAGAGAGGGGGAAAAAGAGAAGGGAACTCCTTCTAAAAGCAGCGGTCTACAGAGTGGCACGTGCTGACTTAGGAGACAATCAGGGGCTTTGCCAGCTGGACGGCTTTCGGGAGTAGAAGGACCATGAGAACAAGAAAGGTAAATATGGGTATGTGGAACCAGGTACACGGAACACAGCACATTCTAGAAACACAGTTAGCTCCTCGGAGAACACAATTTGTTAGTAATTAGGAACTTTCATAGGGTGTGACACTAATATGAGATCCTTGGGTCTGGGGACACATTAGGACACACAATCTGTACACCTTTTGCTTAATTGTCACTCTGACACGTCAGAATCCTTGAAAACCAGAGTGTATGCACTATAGCACTGAAATGGGCTGCAAACGTAAGAGAAACTGGGCCTTCAGTATGCATACACTGCCAAGTTTGGATGGCAGTCATCAAGAAGATTCAGTTAGCCACCCAAATGGAATAGACCAGGGTCTGAGCAAGAAAGTGGATTGCAGCTGGTTCCGCAGTTTTCCATTGTTTCATTTATGTCACTTGAACCTGTCACAGAATGGACGAAATTCCAAGCACATCCGGAAGTTCAGTACAGTAGGGATTTCCCTCCCAAATGACGCTAGTCATTTTAATTATTCAGAAGAGTCAAGGAAAAGCCATTCTTTACAGACATCAAATTTAGAAGAAATGTTAATTATGCTTTTCCCATTGTAATGGTAAGTCAGGATTAATTAAGAAAGTCTTGTTATTTTTCTGTGATCCTTAAGCTGTGAGAATCACTCAAGTATTAAATGTCTACCAAAACAACACAAATAAATTGGAGTTTGGGGAAAAGCTGGTGGTTACGACGTAAGGGCAAGGACCTCAGTAAAGGGTAAAGGCTAAGCCTCTGGCTGTGAGGAAGGGAATTATAAGTAGATGAAAGCAATGCTGGAAATTACCAACACTTCATTTGAGCCAAGCATGTAGATTCTCTTACCAGGGTTGACCATAGCCAGCGAAGCTCCAAGGGGGCAGCCAAACTAGTTGGTGGCAGCCAACTTGACTTATGGCAATTAATTTCAATTAAATTGACTGATCTGGGTTTTGCCTGGACCACATTCCTGCGGCCTTGTGCACAAGTTGAAATGCTTTCACAAACTGTTATGTGCTAAGAAAAGGCAATGCATGACGTACGTAGCCAAGGGTTTGCTTTCCAGTTTAAGTCAAGTAACCTTGGCCAGACACAGTTAGCACAGGGTAAAGTGCTTGAAGATAACGGCATCTCCACAAAAGGTTTATTACACCATATTTCTGTATTATTCTTCCTTATCATTAGTTAGTACTGTTAATCTCTTATTACAGCTAGCTTTAAATTAGACTTTATCATAGGTGTGTGCATACAATATGGTGTATGGTACCTGGGGAATTCTGTATTAATGTCAGGCCTCCACTGGGGGTCTTGGGGTCTGAATTACTATTCTTTCTTCCCATTTGTTGAATGTACATGTGAGCACATACATGCCATGGTTTGTGGGTCCTACTGAACAAAAAAAAGTTCTGTAAGTGTTCCCCTTCTTCCTCGCGAGTCTGGGAGATAAAACTCAGGTGTGGCAGACCACACCCTTACATACTGAGGTGCTTTCAAATTTTAGAAAGATATTTCCATATTTTTTTCCCTGCTGTCCCAACCAATCTAGCATTCCAATCTGTCAGGAACCAACTAAATCTCTGGCTATTTTTATGTCTTTATACGAATCTCTTTCTCTAACATAAAAGTTGAACACTCAGTCACCCACAACTTAATCAGACTAGAAAAACTTTCCTAGAGAAAAAGCCTACCACAGAAAGCATGTCCTGTGCTCAGATACTTAAGCTAAACTGAGGCACAGTCAATTATCAATTCTATCCAAGATACTTCTTCTTTGCTTAATTGCTTTCTTCATAAAAATAATCTAACGAATATTGGACAAAGTGAGTAGAGCTGAGTGTATAGAGTCCTATAAAATTCACCTACCAAGGGTAAATTTCTTTTGTTAGTTACTACATGAAATGATACCATTTCTTGAAAGAGCTGAGCTAACAAATATGGAAAAACTAGCACAGGACGTTAAAAGCTTCATACACATTCCATTTATATGGTTCTCAATATTTAATATTCTAACTGTTTCTTCAATCCTTTTCTTCACTAAAAGTATAAAAAAATTTTTTTGGAGTCTGGTTATATGATAAACTGTGGTAAAGAAAACATATAAATATCCTCAATCTGTCAAACCTGACCTACCTGATCTTGCTTAGGGTGACACTGTCCACTGTTTGATGGGCAACCGGCTAAAGACATTAGAAATCATGACCCTGCCATATGAAAGATTACTTGACCATGGCTCTGACGAACAAGTGTTCTCACACACACACACACACACACACACACACACACACACACACAGAGCATCTCAGGCTGGCTTGGAACTTACTGTGTAACCAGGGGTGGTTTTGTTCTCATTCTCCTGCCTCTGTCTTCAGTGTGCAGGGCCTATGCTACTCGGCCTGGCTCTTTCAATGTTGGGATTGAACCCGGCTGGTGCTTTGTGCTTGTACTTTATCAACTAAGCGACACTCCCAATCCCCATGAACACATTTTAGAAAATAAAGCCTAGACATAATCACCTTAAAAATCTTGAATCATGTTAAGTGTTTGTAAAATATCTAAAGTAAGGAATAAATAAGTCACTATGGATGATTTGTTTGTATATTTTCAAAGTTGTCCACTGTTCTCGATAATCTTATTTTACTCAGAAGGAAAATCTGCACTGATAGTTTGCCCTCGCCTACTTCTTTTCCTGAGATAGGTTGTCCCTCACTACTACTGGTGACATCACCACTCTGGCCTGGAACTCAACACTACCCTGACTTAGACTCCAGCAGCTAAATGTGCTGATTTTCTAAGAACTCCTTATTGCCTATATGTTTATCTGCTCACATTCAGTGTCCGGTTCAACTTCAAGTGACTGCAGCTTCTGGTAACTCAGTCAAACAAGGGTGTTGGTAAACACCAATTAACTCCTCACACCTGGGAGGGGCCCACTTAGAAACTGAGAGAGGAGTTCGAGGTTTCAACACATAGACAGATTTCAGTGTGAAAACATACAATATGCATGGATGAAATAAGCATGGTTAATAAATAGAAGCAGAGGTGATATATGTTCTAATTTAAAGGAAGAGAATGTATAAAAATGTGAAAATAACAAGTGACCCAACACTGCTAAATTTATGCTTTTTTATTTTGGTTGTTTGTTTTTGAGGCAGGGTTTCTCTGTATTGCTTTGGAGCCACTCTGAGGACCAGGCTGGCCTTGAACTCAGAGAGATCTGCTTGCCTCTGCCTCCCAAGCGCTGGGATTAAAGGCATGTGCCACCAACTCCCAGCAGTCTATGCATCTTTTAAAACAGAATGTTTTATGGATTTTCTTGATGAGATGGCAAGAAAATATGACAAAATGAGGTAAGCATTAAAGAGAACAATTAAGCTTCTCTCAGGCCTACATTTTCTGAACAGAAGTTGCCTCAAAATTATCATCCCTGCTACCCAGAATCAATTCAGTTAAAACAAGGTGAATTTAGGATGCAGCTGCTAATTTTTTTGGACCAGAGTTTCCAGTTCTCAAGCTGAAAGTAAACTCTTACTGAGAACTTGCAAACACAATGATGCATCACTTTGCTTTTTCCTAGCTTGCAGGGACAGCTGGAACCCTGGAATAAATTACATAAGGTTCAAGGCTGCACTTAAACTAGAAAAAGAGTCCTGTTATTTCAACTGGAGTTTACTCTTCACTCATCTCTTCTGTTAACTCAAACCAAATATTTTACCACATCTCAAAAATGCCTATAGAAGGTAACCATTTTACACAGCTCTACATGGCCACAATGATTCAACATTTCTATTTCGTCTCCAAGCAATTAACTTTTTACATGAAGCAGTATTACTATTTCCAATATTAACTTTACATTTTCTAGGGTTTTGGATAAAAACAAATTAAATACCATCAACACAAACACGATTTTCTATCCAGCTCTACAGGAGCAATCTATCCATTTCTACTCAGAAGAAGTTTGGTTTTTTTGTTCACTTAACCTCTTCTACCACTTGGTAACATTTATTTCTCTACTATAAATTCCTTAGATTGGATCTTACCACACTGCCTAAAAAAATAATTCTTAACCACACTGCCTAAAGAGATAATTCATACAGATAAAACACAGCATACATATCTGGTAACTGATTCACAACTGAGAAGGCACCACCTAAACACATTAAAGCCACAATGATGAAGACAAAGAACAAGGGAACGGATTCTCACCTTCTGCCTCCAAGGCTGAGTCTCTGCTGTGTGTGAGAGGAAGTTGGGAAAGTCTCTGGAAAGTAGCTCTGATGTCATTGAAGTCCCCAGCTTGTCCTGGCCTCCTCAGTCCACTGCACACCTTAAGAACAGGAAAAGGACAGCTCAGCCACTATTCCAAACCAGATTTAGGAATACTATTTTTGTGACATTCAATGCATATATTGATCTCAGAATCTTTCTTAGTTCAAATTCAATGCAAAAGGAGTCATTTGAGAGGTAAATATAAAAGCTTTACAAGTGTCAGCTTATCAAAGGAATGATAATAGAAATGGGCTAATATTTAAGACAGAGCTAGCCAATAAGAAACGCTAGTAATAGGCTAACAGCTTTATATCTAATACAGCATCTCTATGTGTTATTTGGGACTGAAGGGGCTCTAGGACCAGGCCTGTGGGAAAAACTACTGGTAACAATGTACTCCTAAAGACATCTCCAAAAAAGAAAATAACAGTAAATTTTCTTATGTTTCATTTCTTCCGTTTCAAAATACCAACAATTTAACTTGCCTAACACAGTGACATCAGCTGTCTTACATTTATACAAAAACAGTGTAGCAAAGTTAGAAAGGTTTGGTGCCAACAGCATCAAACTGGAAAAACAACAAACAAACAAACTACAATGCTCAGTTGCAGTAAACTGTGGCAAGTCCAGGCAAGTGTAGAGCCCAGCACTACTATATTATTGACATAAAAATCTTAACCAGGGAAACAATCCTTGAACAATTAACTACTTAAAAGCAAATATGCTGAGTTTAATTCCATTTGCATACAATCACAGACAATGTAAATTCATCTACTATGAAAAAAAATTAAGACAATGAGTTTCCTGAGAAAAGAGAGGAAACCAGGAGGAAATTCAACAGGTAGCTTACATTGTGGTTATGGGTTTCATTTTGACTTGAAATGCCACAAAATGTTTTATGCCCCTTAACATGGCGATTGCAAACCTAACACTTAACTGAATTTTAGAAGAAAATAAAGAACAATGGAGGGTATGTAAAAATATTTAGCAAAAAAGAATGCTTACAATATACATTATTTCTAACAGCAAAAATTAGAAAAAAGCTATCATATTTCCCAAAAAAGGCTAAAAGTAGTTAAATAATCTATTATACCATTATATAGTATATAAGATACAATATCTTATATAGAATTTAAGGAAATTGAGTTATACTGAATGATATCTATTAAGAACTAAAGAAACAATCTTGTGTTTAGCATAAATAGACATATGCATTAACACTACAAAAATAAAGGCATTCTTTCTGCTTTCAAAAGTAGTATTTTTTTTTCCTTTCTGCTGAGAGATATTTTGTAATTTTCTGCAATGAACATGTATTACTAACAAATGAAACAAGAAACTAACAACCATAGAAAATTGTACCTGCCTAGTAGAGGTATAAAACAAAGGTATCTGACAGGTAGCAGAAACAGAGGAGGATCCCATATTCTATATTCTGGAATCAAATCTGACCTTGACCATACATTGACAGGATTTCTCAGAGGTAGTAAGGTGGAGGAGATCATTTTTGTTGACTATATACGGAAGGAAGTTACCCACATATGCACTTAAACACAACCGAATTTGCGATTATATTTATTAGAATACCATAGATACCATGGTGATTTTCTACATCCTAATTCCTAGCCTTGAAAACTATGCCAAATATAAGTTCTAAGTCCACCTTGCCTTAGAAGGCAATAGTAAACCTGACATCCTACTACATGTAGGTTTTCAGTCTTTTTACACTTTTTCTCTTCTTGAGAAATACCCTTACTTGCTCTTTATACTTGGAAGAAGAGCATGGACTCACTGTGGGGTTTTTTTGTTTGTTTAGTTTGATTTTGGTTTTTCAAGACAGGGTTTCTCTGTGTTATAGCTCTGGCTGTCCTGGAACTCACTTTGTAGACCAGGCTGGCCTCGAACTCACAGAGATCTGCCCAGCCTCTCGAGTGCTGGGAATAGAGGGATGGCCCACTACCACCCAGTTCTATCTGTGCTTAAGAATGCAGCAAACATAGAACTTTACAGTTCTTTGCTTCAAGCAATCTCTTCCTTAGTACTGTCTCCAAACACCAATGTTCCATGCAGAACAATACCCACTCCTGACCAGAGGGAAAGTGGAGATTTGTAAAGGAACACAGTAAATGGCTGACCAGTTTCTGGTGAAAATAGTGGAGCCTTCACAGCAGGAATCTCACTTACATTCTCAAGGTCAGTTATCACAGCCCAGCACAACCCGAAGCCTTCTGCACATGTGCAATTTAAAAGAGCCCTATAAAATTATTCTTGCTATTTGATGGATAAAGAACTGACTTTAAGTTATCCCAATCACAAATCTAAAGGAAGCTGAAGAAGAAATCAAACCCTGGCCAGGAGTGGCCATACATGCCTTGTACCTCATGGCAGAGTCATGCAGATCTCCATAAATTCAAGGTCAGCCTGGTCTATGTAGTGAGTCTCATCTCAAAAATGAAACAAAAACAAAAGGAAAAAGAAGAAACCAAATCCTGGGAACATTTTACTTGAAAAAAATTCTAAACCTTAGGAGTTATCTGGAACGTTAATAGTGGGTATTCTGTAGTAATGTGTGTTTACAGCATTCTCCAATTACATACACATTGCAAAATAATAATAATAGCAATAATAATAACAACAGCAACAGTGTAGCAGATGAAGTCTGTATATTGCACGGAGGGAGGTAAAAGTCAAGTTTCCACCTGTTTGGATACTTACTACATATTCTAAGACTATTTACTTAAGTGACCATTCTCGGGAAGCCTTGCTATACATCTTTTGAGCTATGTATGACCACAGGGAGAAAAGATACTTACACATAACAACAAAGGTTAATCTGGAGTAGCAACTTTCACAGATGAATAATTTACAAAGTCCTTATGCAAATAAATGTTTAAGTTAGGCTCATCCACAAGTCAATGACTCAATGTTCCAGGTTTGTTTTGAATTACGACGATAAGAAACACATTTCGAGAGGAAAATAATCATCCACTATCAGCTGTGATATCAGTGGGGCATCTGTCCGCCCTCATTTGGGTTTGTTCATTCGCTTTACTTCTGTGCTGGACATTGTCAGCTGCTCTTACTAGATAGCTCTTGACATCATGTGGGGATGCCGTCTTCCGTTAACAGTATGTATTGGACTATTTGTTTCAAAGTCAAAACAACCCTTCCTTGCTGGTCTAAACAGTTAACATCATACTAATGGTCAAAGATGGCAGACTTTACTCTCCAAGATGGGGAAATACAATCTACTCAATGGCAAATACAAGAAATATGAAGACAGCTTGGGAAAAATTAAGATTGTCCTAACTGGACGCTAAAGAGATGACTCAGAGGGTAGGAGCTCTTCCACTTCCAAGGGAACTGGGTTAGATTCCCAGTACCCAGCCACACAGTGGCTTACAACCACCTGTGCTTCCAGTTCCAGATCTGATGTTCTCCTTTGCCTTCATAGGCACGCAGCACAAGTATATGCAGGTGCCTAGACAGACAGACATGCATATACCCATGCATAATCTTTTCTTTTAATTATCATCCGTCTGCAGGTAGTGTGATCTTGTATGCCATCTACTACATATCTCCTAAGGTTAAGAAAAAGTTTACAAATGCATATGATAGATGACAAGAATAGAATTGCATCTCATCTACCTGCTAACAATAAAGTGATCGCAAAAGCTGGACATATTTGCTAAAGTAGTAGCAAAAAGAATAAAAGACAAGAACAACTTTGCCATCAGTGAAAAACCAGCACAACGCCACCTGCTAAAAACTGCTAAGAGAAATGACAACGATCTAGGGAAACAAAGATATACACCATTGTTCTTCTAATGAACTATGCATTCAGTTGACTACAAAAATAACTATGATTTTTCTCAGTCTCTCCAAATTGATCCAGCAAACACCAGCATGACTTTTTTTCTTTTAGCAGACATTAGTCCTGAAAAGGATGTGGAAGTTTACATAGGCAAGGATGCCTAAAATTATCTTGAGCATGGAAATGGGAGCTGGAGAGGGGGCTAGGTGCTTGAGAGCACTTGCTGCTCTTGCAGAGAAACTAGGTTTGATTCCAGTGTTCGGCAGCTTACAACTGCCCGGGACTGGCTCTAAGGCAGCAATGGTTCTTAGCCTTTGAATTGCAATGAAAGTTCCATATTTACATTATTACAGACTTACAGTTAATGAAGTAGCCAGGAAAACAATTTTATGCATATGAAGCATATGAAGAACTGTATTGAAGGGTCACAGCATTAAGAAGGTGGAGAAACACTGCTCTACAGGATCCAACACCCTTTTCTGGCTTCTTCAAATACTTGTGCTCATGTGCACATATCCATACACATCACACACACACACACACCAACACACACACAACACAAACACATACACACCTTTTAAAAAAATAAAGGTTAACTTTAAAAGATGTAAAATCATATAATAAGCAAACTCACTATAAACCCATTCTGAAACAAACACAATGTATGTAGTAAGGAATAAAGTAAGATCTACACAACAAAACTCAAAGTTATTTTATTTTTGACAAAGGTGCCTTAGAAATTCAAGGGAGAAAGTGCAATCTCGTATGTAAATGGTGAGAAAAACATAAGAACACATGAGTAAATAAGTAAGCACTGACCCTTAGTTTATTACCCATGAAGCTAATCATCTGGACCACTGTTTGGAGCAACAAGAAGACCAACACTACTAGAAGAAGGAAGGGGAGAATCAGGTTAGAGAAAGATGCTTTATGTAGAGTAGTAGAAACACAACCCATAAAAATGGAATAACTGAACCTCCCTGAAGTCCCTAAGAGATATCGGTTATCTAAAAAGCCTGCAGCAGAGCGGGAGAAAAGGCTTGCAACTCATATACCCGATAAAGACATTGCATCCAGCACGTATTAAAGTCCTAGGACTGAAGAATGAGATAATCTAACCAAATAAAAATAAAAACTGGATGAGGATTGGAAAGCATTTCAAAGAAGGCTGGACAAGGTGACCATCAAAATCACTCACTGGAAACACAGATGATGTGACAGATCACACCACAAACACACTAGAA